AAGGGGAATTGTTGGTCGGATTGGCGCCCTGATTGGCCTGTGAAATGTTGTTGGGGCGTGATTGGCCCCCGCTGTATGACACCTTAGAAAGAATTAGAGATAGAGAGGCAGCTAAGAGAAGGCTAAACAATAAGGATGGCTGGGTAGGGGAGTCAGAGGAAAGGGCGGAAAGTGATGATGAGCCCAGGATGGTAGATCTTCAGGCAATGGCCAGTAGCTGGCGGTTTAAGGAAGCCCAAGTGGAAGATGAGGAACTACGAGAGTTATGGTCTGCCCCCCTGGATGACGCCTCGACATCAGACGCCGGAATGACACTGAGACGACCGCGGTTTGAGGTGAGAAACAACCTCCTTTATCGTATACAACCAGGTCAGGAGGGAGAGACGGAGGAGACCCAACTAGTAGTCCCAACATGTTTCCGGGGTGTCATTTGGCAACTGACACATGCCACCCCGGCTGGGGGGCACATGGGAAGGGATAAAACAAGGGCCAGGATCTCCTGGTGGTTTTTCTGGCCTGGTTTGGGAGAGGATGTAGCAAAATGGTGTGCTACGTGTCCCGAGTGCCAAAAAACCAGGGAGGATCGGCCACCACGAGCTCCGCTACAACCCTTGCCAGTAATAGGATCCCCGTTTGCGCGAATAGCCATGGACGTGGTAGGTCCTTTGCCGCGTAGTAGCACTGGTAACCAGTTTGCTGGTAATAATCGATTACGCCACGCGTTACCCCAAGGCAATACCTCTACGGACGGTGACAGTGCCAAAGATAGTGGAGGAATTAATAAAATGGATTGCCCGAATAGGCATTCCAGAAGAGATTCTGACAGATCAAGGGCGCAACTTTATGTCTGGTGTATTAATGACAGTATGTCAGACGTTGAAAATCTCACAATTGCGCACCTCCATTTATCATCCTCAAACGAATGGGCTAGTGGAGAGATTAAATGGAACCCTAAAGAGAGTATTGTGCCGGTGTCTCCAAGGGGATCCCCGAAAATGGGATTTACTAGTCCCACTGATATTATTTGTGCTACGAGATACCCCTTCTGATTCCCTGAAGTACTCGCCGTTTGAATTGGTGTTGGGGCACTGCCCTAGAAGTCTGTTGCAAGTGTTAAGAGAAGGGTGGGAGTTACCGGTCACTCAGGAACAGAATGCATCAGAATATCAACAGGCGTTCCAGCATCAACTTCGGATAGTGCGGGAAGTGGCCACTGAAAATCTGCGGCAGGCCCAACAGCAACAGAAGGAGAGGTACGATAGGCAAGCCCGGTCACAAGAGTTCCAACCTGGACAGAAAGTACTCGTGTTGCTGCCCACCTCTGCCAGTAAGGTGTTGACCCAATGGCAAGGCCCATTTGAAATTGTAAGGAGGGTAGGGCCCGTTGACTATGAGGTATTTAGGCTGGGACATCTTAAGCCTAAACAAATTTATCATATTAACCTGTTACGGGAATGGAAACAACCCGAAGGATGGGCGACTTTTATGGAGGAGGAAGATTTCGGGCCACAAGGGAGGGAAGTTAAACCAGAATCACGGAGCCCGCCGATAAGGGTAGGAGAATCCTTGACCCCCAAACAGAAGGAAGAGGTCCAGCAAATCTTAAAGGAATTCAAAGGGACATTTCAGGAAGAGCCAGGGTGGGTGCAGGGCACTTACCACTATATACAAACGCCTCCTGGGGCTATAGTAAGAGATCAATGGAGGCCCATACCCCACCATCTGACAAGTGCTATAAAAAGGGGAATAGACAAGATGCTAGAATTAGGGGTCATAAGGCCCTCATGAAGTCCTTGGTGAAGTGCCATCGTGCCGGTACCCAAGCCTGACGGCACTTTAAGGCTATGCATAGATTACCGGCAGTTGAATGAAATTACTATATTACTATACTATTAAATTACTAAATTACTATATTTCATACTATTACTAATCTGATGCCTTCCCAATGCCGCACGTTAAGGAATTGGTGGAGAGGATTGGGTCCGCCAAGTTTATATCCACCCTAGACTTAGCGAAAGGCTATTGGCAAATACCCGTGGCCCCGCGGGATAGGCCCAAGGCAGCCTTTGGCATGCCTTGGGGCTTATACGAATTTATAAAGATGCCATTTGGATTACATGGGGCGGCGGCCACGTTCCAACGATTAATAGAAAAAGTTCTAGCTCCACATACAGATTATGCGCCTGCTTATATTGATGATATTGTGATTTTTACCCAGACATGGGCACAGCATGTCAGAGCACTAAGTGCGGTGTTAAGGGAGCTGAAGACAACAGGATTAACAGCCAACCCCAAAAAGTGCGCTTTAGCCCAGCAACAAACCAAATATTTAGGTTTCCTGGTGGGACAAGGGACCATACGACCATTAGCGGATAAATTTGAAGCTATCAAGAAATTTCAACCACCACAAACACCGAAACAGCTTCGCTCCTTTTTAGGATTGGTAAATTATTATCGACGGTTCGTTCCTCAATTTTCAGACCTAGCAGCACCCCTGTCAGATGCTTTGAGGGGACCCCAAAGCAAAAAAAATAACTTGGACTCAAGACATGGCAAGAAGCTTCACGAGACTGAAAGACGCCTTATGTAAGGATGTAGTGATACACGCTCCTAATTTTGAGAAACCATTTATTTTGCAGACGGACGCATCAGACACGGCCATAGGAGCAGTTCTCACAAAGGACAACGGTGGGGTTCGACGACCTGTGGCATACGTCAGTCAGAAGTTGCTACCAGCTGAGACGACGTACGCCACAATCGAACGTGAGTGTCTAGCCATAAAATGGGCTGTGGAACATTTCAAATATTACTTGCTGGGGCGAGAATTTATCTTGATCACGGATCATGCCCCGCTAAAATGGCTTAACACAGCAAGGATGGACAACGCCCGAATTACGCGCTGGACTTTGGCGCTACAACCATACAAGTTCCGCATAATGCACCAGGCCGGAGTAAACAACATAGTGACGGACTTTCTTTCTAGATACTCTGTGGCCTCTTGTGAAACCATAGCAGACCCAGAGCATAAGACTGGTCCGGCGGGTACAGGTAGGGTCGCGACACCCTCGAACGGACCGCCCCGAGGCAGCTTAAGCGGGGGGTTGTGTCACAGGCGGAGAAAGACCGGGGAGACTCCTGAGCCCATGGAGGGAGCCCCAGAGCCAGAGGCAGGGGGCGGTACGGAAAAAATAAAAAACTTACTCACCGCAGGACGCGAGGAAGAGCAGGGACGGCCGGAGAAGCTCGTGCGTGGCCTGGACGACGCCTTAAGTCACCTGTGGTTGGCAGGTGACGTCACTCCTAATCGCCGGCCGGCAGCGATAGAAGGGCCGGTGGTGGAGAGGAGCAAGGCGCACACGTGGCTGCCGGGAGGGAGCCTGGCCGGTGGAGTCAGTTGCAGGCGCGGAACGCCGGATCTGACTGCTGGCACTCCCCACAGAGAATTAAAGAAGCCTGGGGATGAGCCAACGCCCGAGGACAGCACGACAACGGTGGGTGAGCCGTGAGAGAGAGCAGTAAGAGCCTCGGCGGCGCAGAGGGGTCAGCGGACCGACGAAGACCTGGAGAGAGGGCTGCAGTCCCAGGAGGACCCGGAGAGAAGGGTGCGGTCCGGGGAAGACCCGGAGAGAGGGCTGCGGGCCAGGGAAGACCCGGAGAGCGGGCTGCGGGCCCGGGAAGACCCGGAGAGAGGGTCGCCCTGGG